TGCTGAACCAGGTCTCGCACGAGAACAACGTAACAGTCGAGACGGTGCACATTCAGAACTCTCTGCCCGACTTGGACTCGAAGAAGCTCATCTCCGAGGCGAATAAAACCTTGTCGAATTTGTTATTAGACGGCGAATGCCAGAACGAGATCTCCGAGCAGACCGACTCGGGAATCTGCACGGTTATCTCGTCGGAGAATACCAGTTTGTACGATAAGAGTCCCGAGGAGAAGAAGACGTTCGCCAATGAGATTCAACAGGACGAACCGGGCCTGGACGACGAGGACACGCAAGAGAACACCAGTTATTCCTGCTCTAATCTGAACTCACCGAAGAGAAAGAGTTCCACGATATCGGACAACTCGTGCGTTTGCAGCTTGCGCAGCGTGAAGACGGTGGCCTCGTTGGATCACTCGATCGAAGTGCATAACCTGCACGCGGCCAACACCGAGGCCGCCAAGAACATTCCACGAATATCGTCGAACTTTGACGGGACGAACGAGGAATTCGTCGGAGTCGCCTACGGGAACGGGCACATCTCTGTCTGCGACTCGAACCAGTCCAGCTTTCAGATCAACTACTCCGAGAACTGGGAGAACCTGAATTTGAGCATCGACGCGTCTACTTCGAGAAAGGAATTCTGGAGCGACCTGAAATGCGAGAACTGCCCGTCTACGTCGCAGAACATCGAGAAGATCGGCACGAAGATCGAGCAGTACGCGCAGGACAAGATCACCACGTCTAGGAAGATGAGGGACGAGAAGCAGAAACGGCGGCATCAGCGTAAACACGAACGAAATGGGCAGAAGCTTCATCACGGGATGCAGGAGAGTAGGATGCAGAATTTCCAGAACGTTCGATCGTCTGCGAGCACGGAGAGTTCGAGATCCAACTCGACGGACCGCTGCTTGAACCCCAGATTGATCAGTTACGGGGCCAGTCTGCACCCCAGTCAGAACACCAGACAGATGCCTAATTTTGGGAGCCATAGTCCTCATGCCAGTCCTAGACTGCAGCACTTCGAGACTCGTAGTACACCTGGTTCTGGTCAGAGGACCTCTAGCATCGCTTCTAGAACTCAGCGAAACCTGTCCCCGCAGAATAGGAAGCTTCTAGATCATAGGAGGTCTAGGTCTGAGCAGATTAGTAGGATGAAGAGGAGGGACGTCGATAAGAGGGAGAAATACGAAAGGGCCAATCCCAGGTCCGAGCAGACTAAGAGAAAATTGGGAAACAGAAGTCCCAATGAACTGATGAACGATGGTTTGGGACCAAGAACGGACAAAAGCGGTCTGGCCAACGAGCCAGCCTCGCCAGTCACGACACAGACCGTGTCGTACGGAATGCAAAAAGACAATAACTCGCAGAGGGCCACGCGAGCTGTGAGGCTGGTGAACGCATCCACGGTTCAAGGAACGCAGTCGTTCGGCTCGGATCACGTATTGGTTCATAAGCCAGATGTTGGATCCAGTTCGAGCTTCTCGAGTTACTGCGACTCGAGTTCCGAGACCAGCGAATTTCAAAGCGACTGTCAGGACGACGAAGAGATAGCATTGGCCATGCAAGCTGCTGAGATCGCGAATAGGAACCAGATTCGTGCGAAATTCCGGTAAAATATATTTTCTCGGGTCATTAACCTCTTGCTGTCAGACTTCCAGTATTATTGACACCGTGTCTGTCAGGAAACAAGTTCACTGACACTAGAACTACCGATCTTTAACGAGTATCTAGACATAGCAGACATAGATAAGAATAATTTAAGTGGTACCATGAAGTAAAAAAGGAAAATTCTGAGACCAATTCTATCTTTTTGACATTGGATTGGTAAATCTAGTGTTACGAATATTTATTCTGTCTATGAAATTCTTAAAATCTTGACACGTTGGCTGTCAATTCAACTGTATTGGTCACCCGTGAACAGAGCTTGTTTTCTCAATGGAATCATAGTGATCGCAGCAAGTGGTGAATGATCGAAATAAATTAACGAATATCGTTAACTGAAAAATTTGTTAACGAAGTGCATAGCTAGCCTAATTCTTGCCTAATTCTTTGATATTTTATTCTTGCAGGTCGTCTGAGGATCTCGTGCACCGTTTGTTTGTTTGTATAGCCGGTGTGGCGGACCAGTTGCAGACGAACTTTGCCTCGGATCTACGCAATATTTTGAAGTGTGTGTTCCTGATGAACAGTAGTCAAACCGTGGAAGACGGTGAGATGAAGGATGAAAGTTTGGTATCAGAGAATGCCGTGACGAGTCCGTCAAACGATACGGCCACCAATCATGACCGACAGGATTTGCTGCAGGAATACGAGGACGATTTGGAGGAGACTACCGCGACCACAGATCATAATATCAGTACGTATCTCCTCTTTTATCTCGGCTCTATGCAAGCTGTACAGGTATACTGCGATAAAGTTTTATGTGCCGGGACATGTCCTAACTATAAATGGATGATGATTGAATCTGTTAGATTATCCTGGAAGTAGATGACGAGTAATAAAATCCCACGACATGTTTTATTAATGTCGAATTATCAAAGGTACATGTAACGCAACATGGAATAAAATATTTATACCCGGTTATTAGATGGTAATGTTTTATTAATCTGCAAAGCAGTACTTGGTAATTTCAAAGCAAATTATGCACCGGTGTATGATTATACGAGGATTATTGTTGAAATATACAGAAATTATTGTTCTCTGTTTTTACTGTTACTTTCGATGGTATTAATTTCAGAGAAAGCTTACCGATACACGCTCTCTTTCTCAGAAGAATCTTAAAACAATAGAACTGTCTGCAACACTGTAGAATAAGAGATCACACGAGATGTTCGCATTCAAAAAAATAATCTCGAGAGTCTAATTAATTTTAAATACACTACAGTATGAACAGCTCGCTTATTATAATAATCTCGAATTTTTAATCGGAAATGACGAATCTCATTTTAGAAATTTCTAAATCCTCCTCCCCTAGGTACTTCTTATATTGCACATCCACATATTTGTTGAAAACCTCAAAGAATTATTCATTTAATAATTATCTTCAATCTGTAAACAAGTCCAAAGAACAAGAATTCCATACCTCATGGATCCAAAAAATATTTCTTATTAATCCTTCACAAACCCAAAAGTATCCAAGGCTTCTATTGATTCATACTCTTAACATTAAAACTACCAAAGGAGTCAAAGTCACTCGTTTTAGATATTTTAAATTTACATTTTCTTAAAAGATACAACTACTTGGAATAAAATTAATTTTGACTTTTATTCGGCTAGAAATGTGATTATATATAGGGTGGACCATCTAACATGACCACATCAATTACTTACAATTGTTCAGTTATTAGAACATTAATTAACAATTATTTTGCTATGAATAGAATATTGTAAAAATTGATTTTGGTTGAATTAACTATGTAATAAAATAATGAAAACAAAGTGGTCATGTTAGGTAGTTCATCCTATACCTATCCTTTACCTATCCTGTATACCTAACCTAACCTGTCCATCCTGTATCTATTTATCTTCATCGTATCACCTCAATTATTGTCATTTGCATATAGGTGGGTAATTCTAGTGATAATGAACCAAGTGTCCCCACCTAATCCTCGACGCCTGCTCAGTTTCACGTTCAAGTGCTATACAATAGAACAGTAATAGATGAACCACGTGACATTATCACACACAGTGGCCAAAAAAGGTATTAGCACACCACAGTAGAAGAAAATTAACCTAATTAGCAGAGTCTAATTTGGATGAAACTCCATGAGTATGTACATATATCATAACAGATTATACACGCAATAATTGCTTCTTTCACGTAACATCACTCTAAGTAGATGAAATCGGTAATTGAATTTTCAGTATTCTTTTTGTTTTTCTTTTCTAAAATTGAATTTCTAATTCTCTATCACCGTATGCTGACGAAGATTGTAGGATGAAAAAATACTGGAATTTTGAGAGTCCATTTGGCATCCTTAACCTATTGCATTACAGTAACGAGCCTAACTTCTCACGAGTCTTCTTCGAGTATTAAAATTATTTGCCACACTCGCCCTACAACAAAAATTACATTTAATATTTGTTTAAATGCAGAAAATTGGGAGAAATCCTAAAATTTTGTAAAATTTTATCACGAATGAAACTAGAATTAAATACTTCTCCGAAACCTAATTTTTCACAATTAGATCATGCTGTAAGGGTAAAATGATTAAAAGGATTTCCCGGCCATAAGAACACTTTACCTGTGTGAGTCACGTATGCGTGAGTTTTACTGTCAACACTCTTCAACGCGATGTTATCGATGACGTGTCCGACTGCTGCAGAATTGACCGTGTTAGGTATAGTCCTCTTCATTTGTAATTGGTCTTCCAGCGAGTTCAGATCGCACTGTGCAGTGAAATTCTTTGTGATATATTTCACGGTATAATGTAACCTCTTGTCCCACGACTCAAGTTCCGATGACACGTGTCATAATCAACGGCACAGTTGGTCACACGTCGAGCCATTTCGTCCGAACATGGCGAGGAATAACACGTAACTGAAACAGAAAGACATCTGACTTGTAGTGTTTACGTTGGACTCTAAATACGCCTTTCATCCGTGGACACTCATGTTTGGCTCGATTTTCTTACGAGTCCCACACGGTATCGTAGGCGAAGGTATTATAAATTTATTAATAATTTAAACATTAACATCATTTAAACATCCGAAACATTCCATCCGGCGGTGGAATGTGGAGGATTTATACACTGATTACTTATCAAGTTGCGATAATAACAGCGACGAAACGACAGATGGTGATGAATACATTAAATAAATATTAACACCTCGTTTAACTATTCAATCGTAATACAAAGTACAATTATATTGACAGTTTGAAGGTTGCCTATTGACGATTTAACCTATTCGCTGTCAACTACGAGATATCTCCTAAATCGATTGAAATTGGCCACGGAATAAGTTCATAACTGGTTAAGTTAGGAATTATTTGAAAAGAACGATCATTTTATTTTCAAATTACTGTAGATGCCATGTTAGTATTATATCCGCAACTATACTCCGTTCAACGAGAATTAGCAGGAAAGATAAACAGGAAGTTCACGTGATCGACGTTACGATTGCAGATAAATGGCTGCTGAATGTCGATGTTCAAGGACGTTTTGTAGCAACCCCTAGAAAAGGGGAGGATGATGCATATATACTAAGGTAGACATACGGCCATCCCTACTGTGTAGGGATCTGGATATTACGTTTTGACACTGTTCTGATCACGTGCAGCTGTTCCTATTTCCTGCCAATTCTTTTTGAACTGAGTATAAATATTAGACTTTGAAATTCCACAGTTCCTTTGACACTAGAACTACCTATCTTTAATGGGTATCTGAACATAGATAATAGTATCTATGTATCATATCAGGCATAGATAATAGTATCTATGTATCATATCAGGCATAGATAATAGTATCTATGTATCATATCAGGCATAGATAATAGTATCTATGTATCATATCAGGCATAGATAATAGTATCTATGTATCATATCAGGCATAGATAATAGTAATTTTACGATGAAGATAAGTAAATAATTAGTTACAGTTCTCTCTCAATACGAGTCGAAATTACTGCTTTAAAAGCAGGTATATGTATAAGTTGCTAGGGTTTGACAGTGAGTGCAAGAGAACATTTGGGCTTACCTGGTTGATAGTAGATAATAAACAGTAGTCTCGGGTTCAGATCGAATGGTCAGGGTGACGCCTGGAGTGCATATAGGAGAATAAGTGACCGTGTGCAAAAATTCTATGGAGGGGATGTTTACGAGTGATCGAGAAAGAAAGCCTGCGTGTGAAAGAAGACAGACTGCTGGGTTCAAATAAGGGTGCAACGGCTGTCTCGAGACAGTCCGTTACGCAGTTTTTATCGAGAGTTAAGTGTCAGTCAGTTGCGTAATCATACATCAGTTATCAGTTTAGTCTTTTAGTCTATACTTTACTTCTAGTCTCATTCAGAGACTAGTTAAAATAACGTCTCTTATATTTGCTAATGAAACAGCATCCCTACATAAGTTTACCCTAATTGCAAAAAGGAAAATTCCGAGAACAGTCTTTTCGCCTGGATTGGCAGTTCTAGTGTAAAAATAAAATCTTGGTGCCCAGAACAAGACGTTTTAAATTTCCCTGACAGCGAGTGGGTTTAATTTTGTTCGCTTCAACAATGTCGTCAGGTAAAGCGTTGAAATCGAAGCTTGCTAGTTAGACGAATTTATTTGTAACGTGTTCTAACATCTTCACCCCATGTGCATTGTCTGACAGAGGAATACCTGTTTACAGCGTCCGCCATAACCGAGCGTGGCGAGGAGTGCGTGGAAAGGGCGCCGGCCTGGGTCCCGGACAACGACGCGCCCCGTTGCATGGCCTGCCAGGCTGGGTTCACGGTGGTGAGGCGCAGACACCATTGCAGGAACTGCGGCAAGGTGTTCTGCGGCCGTTGCAGCAGCAACAACGTTCCCCTGCCCCGTTACGGGCACACGAAGCCCGTGAGGGTATGCAACAGGTGTTTTCTCTATCAGGTGACGCCTTTCACGGTGACCCCGGTGACGCCGGCGAGCTGAACTTTGCCGGGTCCAGGCGTACGACGAGAGAGTTTCTAGGGAATAAATGGTTTGCTTCGTTCTCCAGAAGATGGAGCCGTGTTCGCGCGCCCGCGGATCGTTGTATCCGGTCTCCCTTTTTTCTTCTAACTATAACGACCGTAAATGGTTTTTCTTTCGAGGTTTGTCTCTTAGGGTAAACGTTACAGACACGAGCATCAATATATAGACGTATATCTATATACATATAATATATTATATACGTATACGTACACACGCGTACACGGAGTATGTTTAACGAGTGTTTTCGTTGGTGGTGTGTCCTTTCGATTTTCATTCGGTTTCAGCCATTCTAGTGGAACTGTATTTTCGGATGTCACGAGTGTATTTGATAGTGTTCGAATTTTTATCGCGAAAGAGATAATGTAAAGTTGTTATTTTTGGCGGGTTAAATTTAAATTCTCATTTTCGTTATTTTGTTTGGTATTTTGCTTTTTCATTTACTATGTTGTTTCTTCTCTTGATCTCTTCGTCAGGACGGTGTAATTGTTGGTTAAATTGCGAAGGGTGCAGTTTCGTTTCACGAATTACGCGTGTTCGTGGAAAACTGATTAGAACGGATGAAGATCGAAGGTACATGACCACTACTCGTTCTTTGCGTTATTTGTATACTTACGTGCACTTAAAATCGTAAAGTTTAGAGTATATATCGGCGCCGATCGCTAATATTTTTACACGTCGTGATCGAACGTTTTTAAAGGAGCTAATTTCCAAAAGCAGTTGTACCATAATGTAATCTTACTTGCGCGCTTAGGCGATAAGGCGTTGAGAAACGAACGAAAGAAACGAAAAAGAAAAAAAAAAAAATGAAAAAAGATTCGCAGTTGTTGCTTTCTATTTAGGACACGTGCGATTATATTATACAAAGTATTCCTTGTATATCGTCTCTGTTCCCATTTTACTTTTCATTTCTCTTCGTCCACGTTCCGTTTTGAATTTTTATCTTCTTCCGTTAGGAGTGTTCATTTAACGATTATGACAAATATATACCTGTATATGCAGTCGAATTCCTCATTTTCTCGTGTCATGCTTTACTCTCGTGAGAATCGTTTGTTTTCTTTTCTACCGGACAGCTCGTTGTAAAATGTCAGATATAACTTCAAATTTTGGTTCATTGCGAGAAAAAAAAAGAAAAAAAAAAGAAAAAATGATGCGAAATATCGTGTATAAATATTTTTGCTTAAACCTATGGGAATTACAGGCTTTCGGGAATTTTTGTATCGTAAAATACATATTTTTGTCTCGTGTATAATGATATTAAACGTGTAATGATAATTAATAAATAATTAAGGTACGAAGAATTTTTTGAAATAAAATATTAACGCGATACATTGGGAATTTGGAAACCACGTTGAATTCTAAGGAAAATTTTATGAGTTCATCGTCGTCTTTATATCTGGAATTTTCCTGAAGCGAAGTTATGTCTGCATTTTATGGCACATCTCGTATAATCATAGTGTAGTTCGTATTCTCGACTGGATTGAATTAAATCGCTTTGTAAAAAGGAAGAAAATTATTGTCAGAGTCATCTGTAGACTATACTGGATGCGGCGAGTTTCATGGTACAAGTGAGAACAGAGTGATTCATAGTGTAAGAATTTGTTGAAATTTTGAAATAAACTTTGTTACGAGAGATGCGGTGTCCATTTTATTTAAAATCTATGAGTAACGGGAAAAGTATTTAAGAGAAAATTTGCAAACGAGAAACGCAATACTGTGTAATAGATTACGTAATTAAATTGTACGGTATTAAGAGTAGACATTTGAAACTTAATTTAAAAAATATAATAAAAATCTCAAGATTCGATATTGCGACATATATACTGTTTAACGTGCATAACGATATTTAGTTATTTTCTCATGTTATCACGTTATTTAATATTCACAAACAAGTGTAACGAAGAGAACAATTAAAAAGAGAAAGAAGATGAGAGTATTTTATAAAATATTCAGAAACTTTATAATCGAAAATCAAAATCTATTTCAAAATTGCGTTTAATCTCTATGCAAAGAATCATTCAATTTCAACATTTGGACCTACAAAGAGAGAAAAGAAAAAGAAAATGGAGAAAAGATCGCTGCAGCCTGTATAGTCGTGAAAGATAAAGAATATTTCGGTATTGCATTGTAAAATAGAGATGTTTGTATTTATACACATACATATATACACATATATGTATTTAATTTTGGAATATACTCTTTTTAGATGAGAACGCAAGATTCGTAGATAGTTGAAAGCGTTAAGGAGAACTCTATGAAGATCGGCGAGAAATCTGGAGTAATGTAGACTGAGAATGAAAAAGCGAAAGAAAAGCATGGAAATTGAAAAGCTCTTACGTGTCTAATTCTGCATTATATCAAACGTTCGCCCAGCGATAGTGATAAAATAGCGATTTCTAAATGTTTAATATTAAACCTGCGACAATGGGACTAGCGATAGGCGGGCCGTGATTTTAGTATCACTATCATATTCTATCGATGAAACTCTTTCGTTCCGAGGAGATGCGCGTTTGCACCGATACGTATTCTTGGTGAAAGAAATTGCTATGGCGGCAAAGATCGATGTGGATGCCTCTGATACGTACGAGAGAATGTCGAGAAATTTTTTAATCTTAGAAATTCGTCTAGTTTATCTCTCATGCGACAGACCATTGCTGTATGTATATTTCGAATTTTTCGAACCGACACCGTGGTAGTAGAACGTAGAAGATCGTGTAACTCAGAGCGTTCCCGCCTAATGTGGTGGCGCCACTGCGGACTTAACCTAAAACCGCGCTACATTTCTTCCACTTTGAATATACTCTTCGAGGAACGTTGTTGCTCCGTTTCCTTCCTCCCCCTTTACCAGAAGAGTTCGAACTGACGACTGCTGTTGTAAATAGCGCGAAAACTTGCGAGCGAGCGTGCAAGAAAAGCGAACCGTATGACGACCGTGACCGAACGAAGGGAGAAAGCGAAACTTTCCGTTTTTAACCGGCATTCGAAACGTACGCGCTGGCGAATCGTGATAATACAAACCGTTTAATAGCTCATCGAGACTTCACGCAAATTTCTAGGCGATATTTAATAGCATCACACTGAGTGTCCTACGATCAGACGACTCTTCGGAGCACACGCGCAGCGGCGCGTCGCTAGTTTCTGTGCCAAATTTACGTGACAATAAGTTTCCTCATTGTAATACGACACTCGCGAATACGAGTTTCGACACAGATCATTCTGGTCGAAAGAAATGGAATCGTTGAGCGAGCTATGCGAGGTTAACAACCGCGTTAGAATCCTTGATCGCTGTATTTTGTAGCGTCGTCCGTTATGTCGTACCATGATTCGCTAATTTTCACGTCGATAGGAAATCGAAGGGTACATATCAAAATCGACCTTGTCAATTTTAACGATTTCATTGATTTTTCCAGATATATCATCTTTGATTTCTTGTTTTATTTATGCAATCAGTTAATTGTTTTGTTATGTTATAATTCAGGAAATATGGCGTTTTTTGTAATACCGATTCGATAATGATCCGACTGTTATTTTTGATTATCAGAATGCATTATCACGCGAAAGCTTGGCAAAATTGACTAGGGTCGTTTTTGACACGAGTCTTTCACTTTGTGAATTTATTCGTTATGATTATGAGTGATCAATGATTCCAGAAATCCTTTCGATTGAAGACAGTCGCCGCTGTGCGTGTGCGATCTCAATTTCGATTTAAAAGACTGCTTTCGATTGTAGGTCGTTCAGATATCGTGTAATAGATTCGATGATTCGCCATAGTTGTTGCTGATTGCTGAGACGAGCGGTTGTGCTTTTTGCAGCTGCGGAGAATTGGGCAGTATTTTCGGTTGATCGGTAGGGAATTTATCCTGAATTTTCTTATTCGAATGTAATTGTAATTGAGCGTCGATTATGTAGTTGATTAGCTAATTCGACGGTAGCAAGCTTAGAAATGAGAAACTGCGAGAACGGGAGCCTTTTATTTCGATTCGAATTGCAAAATTTTGTTTACGTTTAAGTTTCCGTTCCTGTTTTGGTATTATAATTCGACTATTTTCTTTTCTTCTTTATTTTGCGAAAAGGGGGTTTGAGTTTACGTAAGCGTGTTTAGGTTAATGCGGAGAATGTTATATTAGAAGTTACGTTCTTGTTATTATTTGACGACTGATGTATTAATTTTATGACTGATTTACGAATTTAATGAAACGAAAATTCGTCGAAACGACGCCCAACTCCGTGTCGTGTGTCAATTTCATTGCGTGACCTTATTCAATTCGCGATAGCAAAGGTACAGAGACCAGGTATTTCAATTTCGATTACTCGCACAATTAATATATTCGAAATTGATTTAAAATAATAGCAAAAGTTTATTTCCTTATTATCCTGATTAGTGGAAGCATGATGTAACCTTATGTACAAATTCGTCTATAACATTGATATTTGGTATATCGATAAACAAGAGTGGTGTCTTTGTACAAGGCACTTTTATAGTTTATAAAAATTGAGGAAAACCTTGAGGAAATTAGATAGAAAAGATTATAAACGATTCGAATCTAAGAGAAATGGAAATGATTTTATTTTTTTATTTGAGAATAAAATGAAATAACGCTTTGGTTTATACGAGAAGAAAATTAGCTCGTGCGTGTTCGAGAATATTTAGAAATATTTTCTAACGATAAATTTCGCACGGTCTTTCGTATTTAATTTCCTCCTTCAAATTTATATTTCACAATTACTATTATTATTATTATTGTTACTGTTATTATGAGATTAAACTAATTGGCTGTATTTTGTTTGTAATATTTTTTTTTTTTTGTAATCTTTTTTCTTTTCCGCCGAAATTCGATATTTCAGCGAGAGCTGTCTGCGCGAAGACAAAGTGGTTCAGCTTGTTCGATCATATAGAATTATTTAAGAAGTACTAGGGTGTAATGTAATGCAACGAAAATAACAATTATTTGGGGTAATCATTGAATTCGAATGAGTTACTGCTCGCATAACGTGAAGTGCGATTACTGCCAACCTTTATTGTCAAATTAAGTAGGTGTAAAAATAATTTCCTAGTAGTACTTGCATATCTGCTCGATCCAATAGTTGGGTTGATTATTATTGAATATTTCAGAATGTTTAATTTGAGGATTATTCAAGCGAGAACAAGGTCTATGTGGATCTTCGCAAAAGCTGGCCAAATGAGAAATTTTGTCTTGCACTTGCAATTAATTTGCAAAATGTTAGATTCAGGTAAATTAGGAATTTTTGTCAATTTTAATGTCTCGACGTTGGTGTTCGTTTGAGAAAACAAACGCCATTGCACAGGGTGTATCTAAATACGAAAAGATAAGCTTGAAACTTAGGAAATTGACTAATTAACGAAGTCCAATTAAAACAATAACGACATCCTTTGCTCCTCGCCAAGAATATTCTAATAAATTCTGCATATACTTGAAGACAAGTAACCTCGTCTCTATTTAAATTACATTACCGACTTAGACGAAACTTCAGCCAATTAACCGAATGGAAATGTTGGAATTTCCAAAGCAGAGAGGAAACTGCATAAAATAGAGTACAAAATTAGACGATGTAATATGATTTTGAAACAACGACTTCTACACCTTTACTATAGTATGAATTCAGTGATTACCCTGCCGCAATTAGAAACTCGTGATTTCACTTTCTGGCCGATCGTACCGATCGTCCGACACCATTTTTAGCCGAACTTTCATCACTGTTTTACAACCTGTAATCATAATCATCGTGTGATCGATTAAATGAGAATTCACGGTATCGTTATATTCTCCATGTATGAATCTATGACAAAAGTGAGCATTTTCTTGTGAATTCCACATCGTGGTTCGATCGTGAAATGCCTTTATAAATGAGAGGTTCGAGGAATGATTAACCCTTTGGTGCTCAACCATTTTCCAAAAATAATATTTTTCTTTTAAATCAGTTCTAATGTATCAAAAATATAATTTACGATATTAGTGTGGCGAGTGCATGTTACGTATCTGCAGTGTGTTAATTTATGCTACTTTAATTTACATAAAATAGCATTGCACGATTTTGCTGATTGCAGGATCTTGCAATTTTACTGTACATGTAACGTGCAGTATAGTGTATGTGCATTTGAAGAAGCACTAAAGGGTTAACAAAGCTGCATTCTAAAAAGAGGAGAATACGTACAGGAAAGGTGATTGTAAAAACATTCATCCGTTTGCAAACTGCGTTGCAAACTGTCGACCATAGTAACCAGTAGGTATCATATTCCTATCAGAGCAGTTAACACGACGAATTTTTAGAAATATACCTGACGAGAGTAAAAGATGATCACTGATATTTTTCCTGGAAAATCGTGGAAAGCTTTCTCCGAATTTTTTAATCGATCAGAGAATAATGATCCAACACGTTATCATTATTCGTGGAAGAATTTCTTGGATTAAATTGGTCGTTTTAACTGCTCTGATAGTTCTTGTTTTAACAGTGTCGAGAAGGTTAACGTTGAGAAGCAAGATGGCGAAGATAATGTGCCTGTTCAAGCGTTGTGACGATAATAAACGAAGAGCATGCTTGCGACGTTAAATTCCAACATTCCTTTGTGATTATAACGTCGAGTGAAGCAAATTGGACGCATGGGGTTTTTTATCTTAACATCTACGACAATCAACGTCACTGTCGATGACACGTTTGAAATTACCGCTGTTTGTAAAGCGTTCCAAATTCGAAAATTCAGAATTCTGCGCGAACCACGCAGAAAATAGATACGAAGAAAAGAATGGAACGATTCTTTCGCGTTTTAAAATTTGCAGCACAGCTTCTTCGAAATTCGAGAAGTTCGTGACATAATTCGAGAAAATTTATTATTCGACGAAATTCGTGACGAATGAACCTTCTTTCGAAATTCACGAAATTTGCAACTGAGTCTGATATTGGTACACTGCAGAATTTAATACACTTTGTGCAATTTTTAAAATTCTTTTTCGTGTACATACGATAAATATTGTGTAATTGGCGATTGTGTAACGCTTTTAGAATGGTGGACAATTTTGACAAATTGCAATTCTCATTTGCTGACTTTGGTTGTCGATGAAAGATGTCGAGTGTTGCAAAAGAACACTCCAGAGGACTGTACAGCTGTAAATTGAAAAAAAAAAGAAAAAAAAAAGAAACACGGGTATAAAGCAAATATGCTTGTTTAAGAAGAGCATCGACATTAAGAAGTACATTTCAGGTACGAATGCTTGAGAAAAGAGTTATTTTGTGTAATCAACGCCTTGCTAGGGTATTGTCGAGTGCTTTGGATCTTTCGAGATTTCGACTCTTCGTGCGTCGAATTGTCAAAAAGCCTCGAGAACGAAAGTAAACAGGGAAAAGTTTGCGAAGCAATTGGAACGCTTTCGGGATTCGTGGTATTTAAAATTTAAGCAGCTACGCCATTGTTTTCAATGTTGGTAGATATTAAGAAGTATTTTTTCATAATTAATCGCGTAATTCATAATTACAATTCGATACGCATATGTCATACGAAGAAGAGGTTTCACGAAAATGCAGAAATCCGAGTTCGAAAAGATTCTCATCCTTTCATCCTTATTTTCTGTTCACCCGGTATCTAAATGTCGATAATCTAAATATTACATTCTGAAAACTAGTGTAATAGGTACACTGCGAATTCTAGGCTCAACGATATCAAACATAATATTTAGCAACTCGTCAAATTAGCTATAATGCGATAATTAGATACAATTGGATGAAAAAGAAGTCAAGTGAAACAAAAATAAATTAAATATTACACTTCAAAAATTGGGCAATTGTTATAAAAACAAAAATATTTTATATCACGATAAAATTCATAAAGTTACAAAAGTGAATAAATCAAACGAGGATAACGATTAATAAAGAAGCGAGCAAGAATTAAAAATATTTTGGAATTCAAAATTCCATGGATTGGAAATGAAATTCAAGCAACTTGACATCTTTTTCCATCAGTTTTTCGGACTCGATCCCAAACCCGCGGATTAAACCGTGGAGTTCTTTTAAGATTAAGGAAATACGAATTCCATAGAAAGTTCCACGTGCGAAGGGTCGACTGCCATTATGGCGCGTCCGCAATTCTCTCCGATTGCTCTTTCTCCCTATTCGCATCGCTCCGGTGATCGGGAATTCCCCTGTGCCTAAATGTCGCAGGCTAGCCTGCGCTCAGACCGACAAGCGAACTTAAAAAAGACAGACTAAACGAAGAATAAAGACGGAACCGTTGTAAATGAGAGGCAAACAAAAGCAAAAAGACGAGTACGAAAAATGGCGCGAATGGCACCCAGTGAGAAAACACTTTCGGGTGCCATTACGAGGATGAAAGTCACGATGAACGTGATCTGCCAATTAGTTAGAAAATTCCGACTATCGAGGAGAGCAGAATACCTCAGAATTATTTTTATATTATTTGCCCAAGCGTATGTGTATACGTGTATCGTAATCATGGCTCATGCTCGACTTCTGGATCTTCCGGAATGATTTTTCTCGTCGATATTTCTGAGAATAGGTCATATAGGAAGAGCTATAACCTAGTAACTCGATCCGATCGTATTTGGTCGAGAGAAAATGTCGGTAAGATGGGACGAGAAAATGGAGGACGAGGAAAATTATAATGGCGGATTCGAAGATCGAGCGGGGTCACGTGAGGAAGATCGTAGTTAGTATGTATGCGAATTACGAGTAGTAGGAGAGATTGTTCGCGATATTGGACGTAGTTTGGCCAATATGCGGATATACGGTGGTTTCGATAATAGGACACACCGAGTACGTGAATGTAAATAAAGTTTGTTATTCAAGGTGTTTATGGGGTGTTGTTGTTCAATGCCGGATGCATAGGCCTCTTCTTTTTCCGTACTACGAACGACTCCAGATATTACGTTGTAAGATAGAGCTTAAGACATTTTAGTGGGAGAATTAATATATACATACATATATACATACGAATAAGTGTTACGATGTAAAATGTTAATATATATATGAACGATGGCAATTTTATTAATACAATGATATTTTCGTTCAACGCGTTTTTCTATTCAGCTAATCTCGTTGTGCTGAGTTCTTGCTGTAATCCTTTGAGTGATGAAGTGAAGAGGCACAGTCGAAAGGGTCAGTTAATTTTAAGAGTGAAAGAGAATTGTTAAAGGGAATATTTTAAATTAAGATTTTCTGGCAATCGCTATCAATTAACGCTAAATTTAGTAGGGAATGGGTTCAAGAAGCTTATGCTTTGCCATGAGAGATATAAGTATAAATATGTACATGGTATGAATAGAATAAATACATGAATAAACAAATACACGAATACACTACAAATTACACTATACAATATTCCACTGTTTCAGGATTTTTCGTTTGATTTTTTCTCTGTAACATACCTGGTGGAACAATTGAACAATAATTCGATACCTCAGGACCAGAATACCGCAATTAATATCTTAATGCTCCAAAATGGATATCTGATATTCTTATATTAAATACTTTAGTACCACGAAACCTCGATGTTTATTATCCTCATGCAATTCTACAGATGCCCTAATATTTTTATACCGTAATAATTCTAATTCCCAATATAATTATTTCTCTTACTACCCTAAAATTCTAGCACCACGAAATCTTCTCATTTCAGTATTTTAATAATTCTATGCTATAGTATTCCAATACTCCAATACTTTACTACTCGTTCAATTTCACCATAATTTAATATTTGAACACTTCATCCGATACATCACTATCCAAAAATCGTAGTATTATATTTTAATACCTCAATCTAACAATTATCTAACAACTATAGTTGTCTATGTATACTATCTCCAAAATATTCGTATATCGATACGCTGACACAGTATTTCAATACACAGACATCGATACATCGTCAGTTTTCGTTTATCCCTAAATACGCAAATTTCAAAAACCACAGTTTTCATCCTTTTTTTTCACCTGGAAATTTTGAATTATAACAAGATGGTGATAACTGAGTATTGTCATCGAAGTCATCGACATTTTCGTTCGAATACAATCCTGTCAGTTTAACACTCAAAGGGTTATCCACGAACTTGTACCTACACAGTGTACACGTGTCCTTTTTTATCACACTACACGTGGCCAGCAGCAACAACGTGAATATTGATTTCCCGCAGCCTGTTGAGGAATTAGGGATCACCAAAGGCTCCCATGGATACCAGTCAACAAGGGAAATAACGATAGTGGAATTCTCCTCGATGGAACATTCTTTCGCGTGGCTTTGTTTTCTGTTACCCGGTGCAACTTGTTAGCTCAGGACCTGAGCCTCGGGTATTGCGTACCAGCCTTTATTCAATCGGGATTTTAATTTTATTTTTCCCCATCGCGCTACGGAAATTTCGATAACTTTCATCTCTGCTTATTTACGTTTCTGTCTTCCGTATATTTCTTATATTTTGTAATTATAGCTAGCTCATCGGTCTTTGCTTCCCTGTATCATCGTTCTTAATCCATCTTTAGAATTTTTGCAATTTCCACAGCAAAAAGTTACAATCTTCCTGTGTGTTTATATTTTATGTGGCTTATAAAGGGTACTGTAAATTTGTTTTTAATTAAGTTCCTGTAATATCGTGAAGAGAATAAGTTTTGCTTGAAAAGAGAGTCTGAGGACGTCGTAATCCGCCATCATGATGGATATGGAGATGAACGCTGGTTTGGACGTAAGTACATCTCGTTTTTAGGATTGATATATTTATAATTGCGAATTTTTCGTACGCAAATATTTATATTAATATGTAGAAATTTTCATAAATTTTGTAACGTATTCAAAAATTTAATAGAAAAATAAAATTTTGTATGATTAGTACCGATGTTCCGCGTTTAGAATTTGAAAAGTGACGAATTTTTATCGAATGACATTTTATTTTTTATTAAAATTGTGTTTATTCGTTGAAAATAGGATAAACAAGTAGACACTAAAAAATATCGATTATATATCGAATCGTGGTCGTGTTCTGTTACTATAAATCTAGTATAATTCAGACATCGCGATTGACATCGTTCTTGATTTTTACCTAATACTTTTTTGCTCGTCTTTACAAGTGTTTTTTAATTTTTAATCGGCTAATAATTATAATGGACAACCAGAAGCCTGAAAAGAGCAACGAAACAGAGAAACATGATGTTGTTATTCAAATTGAATTCTTTCAAGTATCGATAACCTAACCGCGCGACTATCTGCGGTAAGAAATTTTTCCAAAAAAGGATTACAGATATTTTATCAACCATGCATGGTATTTTTAATTTGAGTTTGTTTACCGAATTCTCGAATTTCCCCTTATCTTTTTTTATTCATATTTTTGAAGCTAACGTACGTCTGAGACCACAGCGTGAACTGTCAAAATAGGAAATAAAATTGTATCACTAACTAGGTAATTATGGAAGCTCATTAATATTCTACAATTATACTAATAGATACAATTTAGTTACTAACATTATCAGTGATATTATGAAATGCTAATTATATTAAAACCTAAATAGTAATATTATTATTTTAGATTCTACAAGTTACAACTAATCATAACTAAATTCTTCACATCTTCAATCATAAGTTACTTTCATAAATCCTACTACCCTTTTCTTTTCCTTTTTTCAAAATATAATTTCTAAAAAACTCTTATAGTCCAAAGAACAAGAATTAATAAACCAAAGAGGACTAAATAAAAATCTAGGCACCTCTCAATTCCAAAATCTCGCTCCAAATATATCCCAATTTTACCAAAAAATTGCTACACCTTGGAACCTGGATCCCACACTATCTTAACGAACGTTGACGACCCAATAACGCTGGGAAATAAAAAGTAGGCAATAAACGCGAGGTCTCAGACGCGGGGATCAATCGGCAGTAACGAGGCCATCGGAAGCCACGAGATTCGGTGATAACTTCGACTAGTATCTCGTCGTCCTCGGCCATCACGGTTAATTAGGGTGCTGTCAAGGTCGTAGTGACGCTTGAGGAAAAAAAAAATGCCGATCGTAAATTTTCGCGAACCCTTGTCGGGTCAGTGATTAATATCGCGTGGTCAGTGGCGCGGGTAGGTGACGATGATGGTGGAAAAGTCACGGAGGACGCGACGGATATCCTGTTAGCGTGGACTGACACGTTTCAGGATGAGGGCAGCGAGAGCAGCGAGGTCTCGGAGGGCAGCTCTGCCAGCAGCACGTTCTGCAACCTGGAGAGGGATTACTCCAAGGTAAGAATGTTTTTGTTTGTTCTTCTTTGTCCCGAGGCTGGTTTCATCATCCAGGGTGACACAATGTAGGGATGGGCGCTACTTTTTGACAGCAGTCGGCTTTAATCGCAGCGACTGACTAGTAGAGGTAAATCGCCGAGTGTTTGAGGTTTCTGAGTAGACATCCGAGTGAGTCACTGCGGTGGGTATTGGATAACTAAAATTTGTCGGATAATTGGGGTTTGCGGTTTGCGGTAGAGATACCTGAGGAAAAGTTCATCGTGGAATGTTTGAAGAATTTTTGTGGATAGTAATCCATGTAGCATCGTGGGTTATGGGTAGAGCGAATAGAGGAGAGAATTTTCTGACACATTTGGATATCGAGGATAAATTAAACGTGAAATATTTGAACATTTTCTGAAGACGTTTACTAATAATTTAATTTAGAATCGTAAATTTGAATTAATATCTAGTTATGTAATATTTAATCAGTGTCTACGAGCATTTGGCATTATTTAGTAACGATTCATGAATATTAGAGGTTTTGTACAATCGTTGGATAGGGAAATAAATTTGTAATGGTCGAAATTAGTACCCATTGTGGGAATATTCGAGGAATGGGTGGAATTTGTGGGTAGATACCGAGTGGTAACGAGTTACAGCATAATTGACATCTGTATCAAATGGCTAAATAAATCGTGGCATATTTAGGGGTTATTAATTAAATCCGGAAAATATAACAACGAAGCGTGGAGTATCCAAGATCCATGAATGGAAACTGAGGGAAAATTAATCTCGAGATATCCGAGATTCATGAACAGACAGATATTGCTCTCCTCGAGTATCGCGAATTCGATATTAAACCAGATACTTCGCCTTTTAGGTATTGCAAGAAATGAAAACGAACGAGGCGCTGGCACCTTTCATGCAAGAGTACACCAAACTCTACGAGTCCCTGTACAAAGCGCACAAAACGGAGAAGGAGTTGACAGAGAAGTATAATTCCACGAAGGTATAACCAATTTATGTCAATCCATAAAATAATGTAAAACGCTATATAATCGATTTGAAAACGTGAATTTAATTCGAATATACCTTAAAATGCCAGGAAGAATGCTTTGTGAGTGGACACAAGGTATACGAGTTAACGCAGACGATTTCGAGCAAGAACTACGAGATAGAGAAACTGAAGCAGGATGTCATGAACGCGATGAAGCGAGCAGATTCAGCTCACACGCGCGAGCAAAATGCACAGGACACGATCGAGAATCTGCGATTGAATATCCAACAACTGAGCCAAGAAATCGCGCAGAAGAATAGGCAGTTAGCTGCTAGTGAAGAGTAAGTTCTTCTTGGTACTTTTTACTCTTGAACTATGTTACTAGGAAATTCTTGGTACCCAATTTGCATATACAAAGTAGGATATACTATGAAAAACAGTACCATGATCAAATTGCTGAACTGTGATCAGATTTGTAAAAATTCTGAATATATGGCCACGATCGAATTCAATTGGTGGTCATATACGCGGTTAATACTATATATCACATTTCTGGCATATGTGAAAGGCATAAAAGAATCCTCTTTTTTCCTATAATAAATTATAATTAATTCTATAACTAAAATTCGAGAAAATTGAAGAAAACTATATAGTATAATTATAGTAATCAATTATACTTTGGAATTGATTGTGTAGTTATTTCTCGCGTCGATTTGGAAATTAGGAGCTAACGATATTTACTAAGAAAGTGTTATATATTCTTTCCTGTAAATAATACCGAAATTAGAATCTTCTTCACGCCAAAGTTATTTAAATTATATGCAAATTTATGAGTTTCCCAATTATTCGTTATTTAAACCCATATTATGCTCTTCAATTATTGCTAAGTACCTCAAGTCGTGTCAAATGAACCACGAATCGAGTTACGAATCGAGAATACGTCTCGAAGCTTCTCGAACAGGAAGAGGCTAAGGGATGAACCAAACTTCCGGTTGGCCCGGAAATCCGTCCTGGCCCCGATTCCTGCGTTGTTAGGTCGAAATCCGCCGCGGAGTTTTCGAACAGCCCGAGGATTTAATTTTCATCAACGTTTCAGATTAATTCGATTCAGCGTTATCGACGAATTTCCCGGACGTGAGCACGCATGTTTTCCAACTGTGCAAACAAAATTCCGTTGACCTTAGGGGATACGCGATACGCTTCCTGCTTATTGCTTTTGAATATTTAAGGGTTTGATTTATTTCTGCCAACCCGAAAATCAACAATTTTATCGATTCGACTTTGTGTGTCACGTAATTTTTAATTCTGTACATTGCGCGTGAATTTCTGTTCTTCTTTTACTAGGTCAGTCTGCATTCTTATGGGAGAGGAAGACTGAGGACATTTTTATCTTCTGTTTAGCTCTCCCTTAAATTTCTTGCTAAACCAAGTCACTCACGAATTACTGGAATAAGAATTCTGTACGAGGACTTATTATCTCGAAATTTTAAAGTGTGCTCATTAATGTGGTATTGATGAGGGGGCTAAGTGATTGTCAGAGGGATTGATGAGTGTTCGAAATGGTGTGATACTAGATTGAGAAGATGTTTACGAGAAAATTGCGAGAGTTTCTTGAATGCACGTGGAATTTTTAGAAATTTGGCAGTGTGTAGAGCAAGTGTGTGATGTGCAGGGACTAGAGTGTCAGAAGAGAGTATCATAAGATAGTCATTTGAGAACTGATAGTGAGAGTTATTCGTCAAAGTTAGGAGTCGCATAGTGAGCTGTATTTCAATAAACATAATAAATATTATTAAATAGTAGAAAAGCTCTATTCCTGTTCTATGCTCTATTCACCCATTCCTACATTAATGTACTAAATTTTGCACCATTAGAATACCATAACAGCAATACAAAATAATTCCAATCAGTTCTGGAAAAATTGTCATCTTGTGAAGAAAGTCCAAGAAATTTGTGTACCTGTTATCTAGCTAAATTTTCTTCATCCTCAACTAAATTCCTTCATCGAATCTGGAAGCTGCTATCAGCAGTAAATAATGACAATTTTTTCTGCTTAAAATATAGGAAAATTTTCTAATTTTCCTGGATAATTTTTTTCAAATCGTGTCAATGTTTCCGACAAATTTGGCGCGGGCATAGCAAACGACGTCGTCATCGGGACACTGTATATATATACCGTGATCAGATCGAAGCTACACCGGTGTCCCGAGTCTAATCCCAAGGGATGACGAGCGTGTCCGATACCTGGTCTTCGTTCAGTCAACATGGTCAAAATGCATGCCCGCTCCGGGACCGTAGCTCATGGCATAGTGGTTCATAAAGATGTTCCGCTTTGTTTCTCTCGCTCGGATTGGGACAAAGGACCAGATTGTCTTTAACTTCCGGTCAGCTCTCTGGCAAGGGCTGAGACCCTCGATCGATATCACTCGTCTCGTGACAGCTTCCTAATTGCTTGATGTGCACGGGCTGCCTAGGATGATCACTCTCTGCTATTATATTTCGCTCTTAATCAGTCTTCCTATATCCACCTATTTTTATCTTCCGAATTTTATATATATATTTTTCTTTATTTAATTCGAATTATGTTTGTTCCTATTATTTACTGTCTTTTGGTAGACAGAACTTGGCAGATTATTATAGCTTCGTCTTTGCAATTTATTTTCTTTGCAATGAGGGATTGTGGTGTATGCCTGTTTTGGGATTTAATTATCCTTTAATTATTTAATAATTTCTTCGAAATGTAAAGACTCGTTTCATATCTATCTTTTTAAAGATAGGGGGTAGGTTAACCTTAGGTTAACTAGGAAATCACTGCTAGTGAGAAGAAGAAATTATAGTAAAAACGTTCTCATTATTGAATCCTATGAATTCAAAATCTCCGTGTTGTGGTCCCCGAGTTCAGAGACCTCGTTATCGTGTCTCTTGGAACTAACGTCGCCTCTGGAGAGTCTCATGGGGTTCGATTCGTGTGTATTACGTCCCTCAAGTCCTCTATATTCTGACCAATCAGAGCGAAAACACCATCTCAGGATGCAACCATACGAGAGCAATCGTAAACGTAACAAGTGCAATCCTGAATCGAACGATCATTAACAAAAGCTTCCTCGCGAAAACCTCTACCAAATCAATCAAAATTATGTCAATTTTTCTTTTCTAATTTCTCTTCTACGTATTCTCGAATTTTTCCTTAGACAATATACCATCGTTTTGTCTGTTTTGCAAGTAAGGAAAGAGAAAGAAAGTAGTCATATTTTCCATATGATACTTGCAGCACCAGCTTCGCGAAGCAAAAGGAGCATCTGATAAACAAGTAAGGAAAGAGAAAGAAAGGGTGGTAGTCATATTTTCCATATGATACTTGCAGCACCAGCTTCGCGAAGCAAAAGGAGCATCTGATACAGGAGAAGGAGAACTTGATGAGCGAGGTGGACACGCTGAAGCAACGGCTGAAGAACATGGTTCTGTACACAGAGGAATTGGAGAAGAAGAGCAGCACTGCCAGTAATCAGATAGCCGAGATGCAGGAAAATCTCGATATGCAACTGAGCGAGATCTCGAGAGAACGTCGAGGCAGACAGAGGGCAGAGGATGAGGTCCTGCAGCTGCAAGAGGAACTCGCTACGAAAACAAGCGATCTCGAGGTGAAGGATCTCTAGACGTTCCGTGGTAACCTAACACCAGAACTGTTGACTTATGCTCGAGAAAATATGCTATACCTAAAACAAAGAAAGACAAGGATTATTTTATCCAAGGCAGCTATGTGCTTTTGATAATTGCAATCATGAAAGTGTAATAAAAATGTACTGTCATTAACCAGGCATTTCGATTGATTTGACAGTTCTTGTGTTAAATATACGCCAGACCTGTTACTCATAATTCGAGCTATTCAACTCCTAAGTACCTATTCTAACTCCTTAATTGGTCAGTTAAATCTAGGCCATAAATTGGTTACTAAATTCAATTTGCTTTAATAGTCGGTAGGTTTCTGTTAAGTTTACTCTTCGTAATTAACATGTCAAGATGGCCCAGACTCGACCGTCAAGTGGGCCACTGATGGCGACCCAAGTGTTCATAAAACTCGGAGATACTGTACCAATTGTTATAACAGGAATTCTCAAATATCAGGTTCAAAAATGGCGAAGAATTTAACACCAAAAGTTAGCACCTTTTGGTCTTAGTCTGGGCCGGTCCCTGAGGACCCCTGGGGACCGACGTGGCACTTAACGTGTTAAACAACGTGGGAATGGTGAGCGCGATGTGTTCAGGGTATAGGTCACCACCTATGACAGTACCTTTTGTGTCAGTGTTATCTGAAGTGCATGTGGGAAGACGAGTGACCGAATAAGGATCGTATGAACGGGATATTTATGGCATTATCGAATGCAAGTGAAGAGTGAAATGCGTCTGAGTGTTTAGGATACGTGACCCACGTGATTGAGACAGAAAGCATGAACATGAAAGAAGACGAAGTGCAAGGTTTAAATAAGGGTGCAAGGGTGTGAAACGGGACAGTCTTTTGAGAGATAGTCAGTGTGAAAGTCGTGAGTTTAGAATAAGTTAGTTGACAATAAATTTTATTTATTATTCACCACCGTCGTTTTGCTGTCACCCAACAATCCTACAATAATTACCTAACTCTGGTTGCTATTTAAATTAATTTAACCTTAGTCGACTTCCCTATCCATTCACCGAGTTTATCCAATACCTGTAATTAATACTACTTTACGTATGATACTTCTTTTCTAACAATTCAAAGGCTCCAATCACCAAGTATAGTAGATTATAGTATATTTCAATCGTATTCGAAGCTACCCTCTAACTATTATATAAATCAGATCATGAATTTATTTTCTATGTATCAAATAAAATAGTTTGGTTTAAGTATAAATCTGTTATACTGTTCGAAGAAGATCAGTGTAAAAGAAGATCTAACAGGATAGTTGCAGTTTTAAATCGATTGACTAACATTACTGGCACGTGAAGATTTTAACATTATTTTATTTCAGAAGTGTTTTCTTCATCATTTTTAACCCTTCGCACTCGAGAGGTGAGCTTCAGTCATCATTTCATAAAATTTGGAAGATCGATATCAATTAATATATCAAATTTAATGTAATGTAACAATGTACGAGGTATCGAAATTAAATAATTCTACAATTCTTTATTTACTGCCCAAAAAAGTATCGTCAGCTTTTTAGTAGAGAATCTTTGAATTTCTAGTCTTTTCTAGCAAAAAACTCGTCGTGTGCAAAGGGTTAATACCGAATGCCACTTTTGCCCTAAAATCTCTCGAGTCATCGCGAAAGTCGCAAGATTCGCGTTTAAGAAGTTACCGAGTTCTTTCCGAATTTTCACCGTCGGCGAAAAAATCAGACGGATAGCCTTCCGTTTCCGGGTTAAAATGCTCCTTAGCCTGGAAATGCAGACGAAAGTTCAACAAGTCTGCAGCGGAAGCGAAAGGAAGAGGGGTTGGCGTGGCAAGTTTCGTGGCACTCGATGGAATTTCGCTTTCGAGAACAAAGCTTATCTCCGCGAGATGATCACCGGGAACGGTTGTAAGACGGGACTTCGATCGGCGAATCGAAAACTTCCGGCCAGGAAACTTGTTGGACACTGCAGTGAAGATACACGGCGGCAATAATTTGTACGCGCGATAGGACGTCGACTGGAATTGACAAATTTCATTTTTCCACTTCACAGGTTGCCAAAATTTCTATTAATCATGAATAAATTTAACACGTGTCGAATAGGAAACAATTTTTGGAGAATTTCTCATTTTATTTGGACAGGTATTACCATGTGCAGAATTTTAGAGATAGAATAGATATTATCTAGATAGAAGATAAATCTAGATAGACGATAGATCTACATAGACATTATCTAGACAATGAAACGAAGAAATAATTTAGATGTTTAACAAAATTTTGTCTATTTTGGTACTCAATAACACGAAAAAGCTTTAGTAATTAAAATGGCGGGATATTGTTGCACGTTATGATGATTTTCAAGGAACCACGTTCTAAAATTTCGTATTTCCTTCGACTGATATATATCCTAAATTTTCAGGTGACTAAATTGGCGTCAAAGAGATACAGAGTGGAAATTAAAAATCGAAATGGATGATTAAATATTGATATAAAATTCGAAGTATTTCGTTATCATTGAGAGAATATTGATACATGAATTTATATTCGATATTTATAATTAATAAATATTAAATATAAATTTGGCTAGACGGCAAACGCAGCGATCCAAGCGGCAGCTGCGAACGTGATAAAACTGGAGAGTTTGCTGAAGGAGCAGAGGACATCCGCGGATAAGATGCAAAGGGAGATGAACAAGCTGTCTGTGAAGAAGCTGCACCTCGAGACGGATGTCGAGAACGCGCATGCGCAAATTGAGAATTTGGAGATGGAAATTGCGGATAAGGACAAGCAGTTCAAAGAGACTAAACAGATCATGAACAGGTAATTGTAATGGCGTCGAGAAACGTCTGGAAGAATGATAATCCACTGTTTTACAATAAATAACAATTTATACAGTAGTCTTACATATTTTTCTCGCGTAAGAAATTCGAAGAATCAATTATGGAAAATTTTTGCTAATTATGACTGGGAAGTAAAAATTATTTCACTCATTTGGCAATTATAATCCAAACGAATACCGATTAAACCTGAATCTGCGATATTAAGCACACTCTTAGGTTTATAATCTCGGATCAGTAACCTAATTTATAACTAAATACCCAATCTCGGATCAGTAACCTAATTTATAACTAAATATCTAATCAAAAAGATGAAAATCTGAAAATTCGTATCCTCGATTAACGTATTGATATTACACTTCCGTTTTCATCTTTTATTCTTAAAGATTTAAGATTCTTTTTATTTTCTCAAATTTTGTACTCAAACTTTTTTGGGTTTCTTTGGAATAAAGATGCGATAACCGTATTTAATTAACTTTAACCCTTCAGCAATCGAAACGAGGTCGATCTCCCTTACAGCACTCGCGATTCGCGTTATTTCGATTTCCGCTAATAAAATATCGCTCGCGACTGGAATGTAATTGATCGCGGGGCACGAGCTAACGCGAGAAACATTATTTCGCCAGGCTATTTGCGAAATTATACTCGCGGTGTGGTGGAACGGTGCCTGTAAACGAAATTTATTTTCCATTAAATTTTGCATTACAATGCGCGCTGATACGTATGGCCATGGTATAATTGCTATGCAAATTGTCATATATTTTTCCGAGGGGACCGGTCGACGCTTGTGAAAATATAACTCTTCGTCACAGACAAGAATTGCGGCCGTTTTTATCCTGTTGACAAAGCGAATTCGTTCGTTGCTATTCTCGTAGGCAGAAAGGAGAAAGAACGGTGAAAGAGGAAAGGCAAAAAGAAATACACGAGGAACGACAGATATTTTCGAGCACTTTGTCGATAACGAAGGATGACCCCCCTCGACGTTTAAAATATTTTTCGCGTGTTCGATGTTTCAGTTGTTACTGCAGGATGTTTCCATAATTCTGGAGTATTTTAACATCCCCTGGTAAGTCGATTATATGAGAACACGGTGTTGAGGAACGGGCGTGCAAAATTTTATTTTGACACCGGTGTGTTTTTAAATATGGAATAGTATATTTCTTTTTAATTAATAATTTAATTATAATTTTCTGTATTTCATTTTTTTCCTATATAAAACAAAATTATTTATCTTTATCTTCGCGTATAGACCCTGTATCTCGAATTTTATTTGAAATTTCGATGATTTTGAAATAAAGGAAGATTAGTCACAAATTTGTGAAATAGGAGAGCGACAATAAATAAAATAGAATAGAAAATAATAGAATAAATAGAGAATAAGTAAATCGACGTTTATTCCTATGTAACGTAATAATTTTCCGGGAATTACACAGCAGCCAAGCTTAAAATTTGTCAAATGATCGGAACACGAGCAATAGAAACTATGTACAGTAATTTCCGCTGCACCGATGCTCAAACAAATAACAATTATACATTTATTCGTACGTTAAAACGATATAGATAATCATCTGAAATTTATGACCATTCGGGCGCGTAATACTATGTTGAATTATTCCATTTATGTGGAGACTGCCAGCTTTTAGTAGCATCAATCTATAATGCAACATCCACTGTTATTTAATACCGCTCGTTATATCGCAGCTGTCTTATTTATCCTATTGAAAAGCTAAATACGTCTCGAATATCTTCTCCTATATCAGCAGACACAATAATGTTGACCTATCGTTACAGAAGCTAGTAGATGGGTAATACTTCCTAACACTGCATGAAATTATATCAGATAATGATAATATATTCTATGGGAACTTTTGGAAGAAGCATAAGAAAATTTTCTACGTGAAAATTGCGAAAATTGTACAAATTGTTTACAGAGAATTATTTATTTCAAGTACCTACATAATAGAGTGAACAGAAAATTATTCAAACACCCAGAACTCAAAAATTTTGAATAGAAATATTCCCTCAACAGTGTCTTACCTTTACAAAGGTGTCAAAAACATTTCTCCACGAAAATAACTGTAATACAATTTATTTCCATAACGAAAACAAAAGTAGGATTAATAAGAAAAGGAAATTTCTATTATCCTATCTTTCAAATAAAATTCCTATAAATTTTGAAATTATAGAAATTTGAAATTAAAATTCCTATAAATTGAAAAGAAATTTTATCAAAATTATCTTTCACGTACTTCCTTTCGACTCTCCACGCTATTTTTATCCATCTAATACGATTACTCGAGTATTATCCTTTATTACAGGATGAGAGACGAAGCCTCGAAGTTGAAGGTCGAGAGGGAGATGACGCTGAAACGGATGCAGAAGATCGAGCACGAGAGATCTGCGATAGAACAGCAGCTGAAGAACACACAAGCGAAAGCGAAGAACGCGGAGCATCAGAAGGTCACGTTCCAGAAACAGCTGACCGACAAGGTCCAAGATATGGAGATTCTTCTACGCGAGAAGAATATCTTGGCGCGTTCCAAGGAGACCTTGGGCGACCAAATCAAGAGGCTGAACCACGAAATGGTGGTGTGCGAGTACAGCAGGAGGAAGATCGAGCACGAGCTAGACAGTTCGGTGCGGGACGTTATGGAAATCCAGACAGTCTTGAACACGGTGGAGAAGGAGAGGGATAAGCACAACCTGACTGCACAGAATTTGGCAAAACAGGTGAGTCTTGGTGCTTAGGAAAAGGGGTTATGGGACGAAATAAAAATTTGTTGCGGATAACGTATTTCTCTACTACTGGTAGAATGACTGAGTGATTACTGGTCTATACTACTGATGCCATGTTAAATACTTTTTGGCATGGTTTAGAGGTTTTAATTATTTTTTAATATATTTCAAGAAATGTTTAAAAAAGAACTTACTATTGGAAAATTGTTGAATATATGCAGTTTAATATGTAAGTCAGTAAGTGATGCAAATCTATTGCCTATCAGACAACAGTAAAGGAATGGAAGTGAAATGTAGGTAAATGGATAAATAAAGATCGATTATTTGAAAGTAAATAAACAGATGGAAAATATAAGGAAAACGAAGGAAAAAATAGAAAAATATGTAACAGAAATAAAAACCAGGGAAGTAGTCCTGTGCGCGACTGGCAAGTAGTATAAATCAGTATTTGATTAGACAAGTGGAGTAGAACCACGCCTGAGCGTAGTGGAATGGAACGGTACGTGGTCAGACAAGTGAAATGATGCCGTATTTGTTTGGGCAAATAGAACAGAATTATAGCGAGTGACGTAAGACTATGTGTACGTATAACTACACGAGATTATCCACGGTTAGCTGAGCACTATAAACCTAGGCTGTCTGCAGACCAGCAGGCATTTAAAAATATATTTAATACTCGTTTACATACTACTTCACCAATTTTAATATTCTTCAGGGAAAACTTAATGACCGGTCATCGAAATTTTATAATTCATCCGCGCAAGAATCATTCTATACAATTTTCTATCATACTCAAAAATTGAAACAGTCGAAATTCACTTTGCTGGAAATTTTAAGATTCGAATAATTTAATAATTATATATTTCCTCGGAAAACACGTTGACGGATAATTTACATGTCACATGACATAAAACGAATAACCCACTTCAAAGTTTTCGTTTTTGAAAGAATTCGTATCGCTATGATTGTTGCCCAAAAATTTATGCGTAAACACTCGCGCTGCAATGATCTCGATGATCAAACACGTGCTTCCGGCGCGCGTGCAAATCGAAAATGGCGCGTATGGGATTGGATAAGCGGAATTGTTCAGGTGTTCTGCGTAATCAGGTATCCTGTAAGTAGTAGAGGCAGACGGGCTGTTAAACATCTATCTAATAATAGGTGTTGATATAGCGTGAGCTGTCAGCCAAGTTGTATAGTAGACGTGGAGCCGAGGGATCGGCAAGCGGTACGGTTGCTGTGTGCACAGACATCGAGCGAATTGCGCTGACGGATATATGGTTTGCCGGCCAGCAGGAGGTAAAGGTAGACGTAGGTTAGTCGTTCGTTCCAGGTTTGCCCAGGGTTAGACGTATCTTGCCTTGGAAAGATTTGCGACGAGATGTAGGCATCGTCCTAGAAGGGGTTACGATCTTGCGCTTCTGAATTCTTTATAATCTTCTTACGGATAGGTCTCTCCGATGTAACCATTCCTTACGATTTCTTCTAAAATATTAACTCCTCTTTTAAGTTTCCCCATCTCGTTTGTCAATTTTATCTTTTTATCTATTTAATAATTTCTGTGTCTCTTTAGACAGCTGCTTGGAAATGTTAATAATATATTGCACTGGGTTAATATTATTATTGGTATTCACACTAGAACTACCCATCTTTGTTAATATTATTATTGGCATTCGTACTAGAACTACCCATCTTTGTTAATATTATTATTGGCATTCGCATTAGAACTACCGATCCTTAATGCGTAACCTAAATAATAGCAGACATAGATAATAGCAATTTTAGTGGTACCACGAAGCTAAATTAATATACGAGTCCTCATTGATCTTATAAAAGCAGGTATATATGTTTGGTGATTGGAAAAAGGAAAATTCTGAAATCTTTTTGACAAGATTGGTAATTCTAGTGTTAATATATCATATTAGATTGTTACATATGGAATATTCGATTTTTATCTGAAACGTTTTTGGAAATTTATTTCTTTATCTCTATGAACGAGTGAAGTACCGTTTCAAAACTCGATATTTGTGAGATTTTATTCATTCTTTTACACAAGTGCATTAGCAAGCTTATAACCTGTTCGAAAAAAATGCACAGAATGTAATAGTAGGGATTATTTCGATAAATAAAATTTAGTATTAAAACAGATATAAGCTAGAAGCTTATTTTAAAAATCGAACGTTTCACTGGTAACAATCTAATATGATAAAAATTTAATAATACTAATGTATTATATTATTTAATATAATCCTGCCAAGAGACACGGTTGGTTAATCTTGTTTGGAATACGAAGCAAAGTTTCATTACAGAACAGGGTCTCTATTACTTAACAGTATCCTCGACTTACATCGATCGTCAGCTGATCGCTAAATTGCAGTTTACCGGAAGTGGATTTGCGGGATAAAGGAGATCGAGGTTATTACCAATATTCCTTTTTTGCGAGATGAACCATGAAACTATATTGCGGAATTAACGTACAGCAATCGTAGGATGTAATTTGCGGGGAGTACAAGACTCGGTCGATCGAGCTATTTATCTCGAATATCTTCGATTCTTCTTTATCAGACAACTGTTTCAATCTATTCGAGTAATTTGGTCGTCGATGAATATCCACTGATTTCCAACAATATTCTAATATTATTAGAATAATTTTTCTACCAAATAATAGCCACTAATTACCCAATTTCTAATAATTTTCTTTGAATTACAAACTTCTCTTCGATTATTTTTGACTCCTCCTTCCTTTAATTTCGTCTACCGAATAATTCAGCGATATTAATTACTATAAAATATGATTCGGGAATATTCCACGTTAAAATTCCTTATCTACAATAATTTTAATAACATTAACGAATCAAAATAAAATAAATCTAAAAACCGAGGAAACCTAACAATAAAATTAATAATATATTTAAACCTAAAATTAGAAGATTATTAAAGAACACCTCGCCCATTTTACCAGTTATATCTAATCGCAAAATGCAAGTATCAGATGCAACGAAATTATCAAAAATTTAACACAAGATTTAAAATAATATCCACTGTAACAAATATCTCAAACGTTTCAAGTGTTTGATAAATTGAATTTCCTATGTTCGAGGAAATGTCTTAACAGTGGTTCCGGCGAACGGATCGTGTGTAACCACATCGTATACGCCTATGTGGTTGGAAATTATCGGATATATATAACCGGCTCATTTCGTGATTGTACATGAAATTGTAATTAATACTAGATTACTAACTACTAGTAGAAACAGGATCTACAATCCAGACAAGTGTAGTAATTGATCCGAGTGCTTTCCAGCTAGCGATTACATCTGATAACTCTAAAACCCCTAGATATCACCCTCTATATAACTTCACGCGTACAAAATGCGCGTTTTATCCTGGAAAAAATTCGAGTAACTTTTTCTCTCGACACGCACACACCAGCGCAACTTCACGAAATATCTCCCACGCGAATCGACTATTTTATGGGAAAAATATTTACAAATTTCCGCTCGTTGGGGATGGAATTTGGTAAAAATATATCCAACGATTTTTCCATTATTTCGGACGAACAAACAGATTATTTCTCGCGTTACTCGTTAAATTTTCTCTTCCGTTGCGATTCCACATTTGTAATATGCTGTAACGTTTCGTAGCTGAGCCGAGTGTTACCAAAATGCTCGTCACGCGAATTTTCGTCACTTCCCTTGAAGAATTATTTATTTATTTCCGACGTTGCCTAATCAGAGTGTTGAGCTTTCGGGAAGAAAATCAAAGCGTTTAGCGTGCGCAGAAATAACCGTATTCAGATGTACAGCAATAGGTATATAAAGTTTAATACAGGTGAAATGTATACACTTATGTGGATCTAAAAACAGAGCTTTAATCACTTGCGGTGGTAAGAAATTCACAGACGCGTCTGCCAGAACGGTCCAGTGTTTCTGTAACAATTCCCTAACGACGTGTATACCACGTCGTTGGCGATTCTGTGACAAAAGCATTACGACGTGCGTGACACGTCTTTCCAGCGCAAGTGGTTAAACTCGCCCCTATGGGTCACTATACTTTAAAAACATTCTGCATTGTTCTGGATTAGAGACTAACTCCTGCAAGAGACAGCAGGCGCTTTTAAACCTCAAAACTGACCTCTTGATGCCTGCATAGTATCGAAGGTCCTTGAAGTCCTAAGCTCGGTATTAGCTCGTAACCTCTAACAGGCCTGTCACCATACTTGCATGATCGTAGTTATTTTACAACACAGAGTGCAAATTGAGTAACTAGTAACTAGTCTACTGTGACGAGGCACACACGATTTTCCTGGAAAAAGGAGAAATTTGCAGAAATGGCCGAAGGAGAACACTTCTGATTTTGGCCGATTTGTTCCCGCGAATGCTCGCTTTTCGAGACGTTTCGTTATTAAGGGTGGCTATCAATTTCTTCCCGCAGAACCCGCGAGAATATCGAGTTACGCTGGTTTTCTTTGCGACGTTATACGAGGGAATTCTTAACACGGAGAGAGCGTTCGATATCAAAGCGATAGTAAATATAAATTTCTCGATGATAAATCTTTGGTAATAGCACGACCGTATAACGCTACGAGGAATTTCTTAATGCGACGATAAATTTTTAAGGACGGAGTTATTATCGATTCTTTATTGCTATTCGATATTAATGCACACGGTAGCCATTTTATGTTGCTACATTTCAGAAAATTCAGGAGAAGCTTCAGTGTATAAGCACGAGGAATACGTTTTTACCTGACTTCTGAAGGCTGCATTTTGTGTCCATGTAATAGTAGAGATAAATCTCTCACGATGAATGACGATCATTTATATTGCGTTTCAATGGCTGTATACAATTGCGAGAAGCTTTAACGCACCTATCAGGGAGTTATAAATTTAAGGAATTGTAGTATGGTGAATTTTCTACCATGTACACGTAGCTTTGCGAAGGAGCAAAGCCTAGGTCAATTGGGAAAAACCCTAAGTGATGCGTTGGGCCCTTAACCTCTTCCTGTACAATGACGAGTCTGACTCCAGATGAAGATTCTGGTCCAAACGTGATTATCGCGAGATTCTTGTAAAGAGATAATTCGTATGTGTAATCGTCACTCGTACACAGTTATAATTTATTAATATGTGGGAGGTTCTTCCTCGTTGTTGTTGAAGTCAACACGTCGTAGGGATCCTCGTTATGGCAGCGGATTCCTGATAGGATCCCTAGATGGTACGAAAGGAAAAGAAAGGGATGAGTTTCGTTCTGGGCCTGCCAGTGGACATGTCAGTAAGGCTACCTAGCAGACCCTACCTTAGACGGGGGATACCTAGGGGAATTTGGAAATTGTATATATAGGAAATGGAGGATTTCTACCGAGGACTTGCGAGAAAGTTCTCGAACCTTTGCAGACGAGCGCCGCATATGTGTGTTCATCGGAAACCATCAGTTTGGCAGAGAAACACTTATATGCGTCCATTATTGCGGCACTAGGACTGCACGTCCCAAGTGGTGGATTATTTTACGTCCATATTGATAGCGTCCCTATGAACGAAAATCGCGTTTAAGTAGAAATGAGCTTTTGAATGACTATCGCGGTAATGACTGGGTCCCATGATACGGTTTACCCAAAACCTCTCCGTCCGCAAAGGGTTAAGTAGGAATTCATCTATCGTGCGAATGATGCTGCCACAAATAAATTACCACCACCGTCAATCCCTACAGAATAGAACCTTCCTAACCTAACACAGGAGAGTGTGACCAGAGATAAATTTTCAACGACGATACGACGACAGATTTTTGTTACCGTCGAATGTCGACAAATGTACTAATTTTCTCGTAATATTGCGTTTCAGAAGCTTCAATGCAAGAATTACATCGCGCAAACAGGATTCACGCTCCGCTGGTAAAATCAAATCCTCCCCTTTCCTAAACGTTTTCCATAGAACCCAAGCGTGTTCACGGAACACGGCTAATCCGATCTGTATATGGAAATGAACACGAAGACGATTTATATGCGTGACTAATCGGGACGTGTAACTTGGTCGCGTTAATAGGTGGAGGAATACATAAGCGAGACGAAGCTGAAGCAGGTCGAGGTCTCGAATTACAAGAAACGTTTGGCGGAGAGCGAGGCTAAATACCGTCAGCAACAGAATCTGTTCGAGGTGGTGCGAGCCGAAAGGAACACGTGTGGCAAGAGCCTGACAGAGGCCCACGACGAGATCCAGGAGCTGAAGAACAAACTGAGGGTGCTCACCCACCAGATCGAGCAGCTGAAGGAGGACATCGTGACGAAGGAAGGACAACTGATCAAGGAGGAGTTCCGTAAGCTATCCTACGCTCCTGACAAGCGTTTCACCTGGCATTTGATCCGTGATAATTTGTAAATTGAATTTCGGTGGCTTCGAGATGCACGAGGTAGCTCGGTTCTTCGGCTTGGTCCAAGTTTGGCAAGTTGCTCTGCTGGTTGCCAGTGGTCGTCGATGTGGCTCTTTGAGCAAGTTCGGATTATTAGAACGTGCTGGAAAGGGCGGTTAATCCGTTAAGTAGGTTTTTGCCTGATTAGATGCTTTTTCGAGCATGGACCTGGAGATTAATAAAGTTTCCCTTGATGCACTTAGAAACTCGAGGATTTAGGTGGGTATAGATTAGAGTTTGAAATACTGGCGATTCGGATGAAGAGTTCATTCGAGTATAGTCGATAGACTAACTTCTTTGTGAATTATTAGGCAAGTAGGAAGTTCGTGGAGCTGAAATTTTGGGATACCAGTTCGTAACTAAGGTAGCAATGTTAGCTCTGTAATTAGTCTCTAGTTTCTAACTATCTGGGTATACCAATTTTCGTTACTATGCATTCTTACAACGCACGATATCTACAGACACTTGACAAAGTTTAATCGAGAACAAACACCTCGCCTAGGTCACTTACAACTGATAAAAGATCCTACAGATGTAAGATCTACAGTCCTACAATCGTGCTTCGCAATCTCGTCTTCGCTGGAAGACAAGGAACGAAACTAAAGCTTGTCTGACAAAGCTTCGAGAGAACAATGATTCCCCACGTGGCTTTCTACCTTTCAGTTCGCAGCAAAGTGGAAAAAGAAAAAGAAGGACTGAAGGTCGAGCTGCAAGGCAGTCGCAAAGAAGTGTCTGATCTGAAACGCGAGATCGAATCTATGAAGCAGGAGGAGAAAAGCTTGAGACAGGTGATCCAACGTGCAGAGTTGGACATCGGAAGGCACAAGAAGGACATCGATAACGTGATGAACGAGAGAGACATCCTGGGTACCCAACTGGTTCGCAGAAACGACGAGCTGAGTCTACAGCACAGCAGGATAAAGGTTTTGCATGGCACACTCCAGCAAGGAGAGGTTCAGTACAATCAGAGATTGGAGGATATCAAGTTGCTGAAGTTGGAAGTAAAGAAGCTGAGAACGGAGAAGACTCTTTTGATAAAGAACATCTCGAATATGAGCGATCTACGCAAGGAAGTGTTCCATTTGAACCAGGATTTGACGAGGGAGAGGCTAAAGGTGATGGCGCTGGAAGAAGTGGTGCAGACGCCGTTGAACATTCATAGATGGAGGAAACTCGAGGTGTGTTATAATTTACTGTTAATACAAGATCGGGAAAGATCATTTCCAACAATTAAATTCATAGACAAGAATGTTTAATTTAATACTGTAACTTTAAAAAAATTAACACTTAATAATTTTTAATAATAATTTTTCTAGTATCTCGTTGAAATTGATTAGGTACTGAGAAATATAGGAAGATAAACGAAAATGTCTCTTAACGAAATATTTACTGGACAGGGTTCCGATCCAAACACCTACGAATTGCTGAAGAAGATTCAGATCCTCCAGAAACGCGTGATAAAGATGTCAATTGACATGGTCGAGAAAGAGAAGAAGGTGAAAGACACCGAGAAGCTGTACATGAATCTACGCGAGATTTTGTCAAACCACCCAGGACCTCAAGTGACAATCTCCCTAAACAAGACTCAAAAAGCTCTACGCGCGAGAGGACAAAAAGTGAAGGTAAGAATGATTTTCTTTACAAGCTTACTCCTAGTTAGAAAACGAGTATCCAAAATCCCATAGCTCGTACGCGATTGAAAAATTGAAATACGAGTTTCCAAAAACAAAATACCCAGAACTATTATTCGCAAGAAACATGTATGCAATTGATCCTCTTCCCAGTAGAATAAAATACACTAAGCTCAATAAAAACGAAAAGAGAATATAGTTTCCTTCATGATAATATGACCGAATCTAGCTCATGACCAAGTACATTCACTTGGTACTTCATGCATGACTAAAATCTGCGACAAAACCGAGTTTACTGATTCAAAGAGACGTTTCTCAGTGCCTGCTGGCGGAGCTGAGCATGTACGAGGTCCAAATGGGCGAGTACAGGATCGGCATGGACAGGATGAGCATCGAGATGACCGAGCTGAGGAAGAAGTTCTACACTCAGAAGAAGAAGCTGGAGAGTTCGGGGGATTCGAAGCCGAAATCCCTGACCGAATCCGTTCTTCCCGCTGTGAATCGAACCCGAAAGAAATTCTGCGGCGGTGGCTTCAACATGGTGACCCCGACACCTAGGAACTGTTTCGTGGTGGACTCTGCGTGCAGATGAGCCCTGTCGCCGAGGAAAGGGTGCCGAGAAAAGGGTGCAAACCGGTCTGTTTGTCGAGACCACGATACGACGGTGTAATGAAAATATAACGGTGTATCTTCCAGGATTCCCGTGTGTGCCTTTCTGCCTGTGAATCTCTGCCCACCTCGTTGTTTCTTTCCTTGCTCTGTTCGGAACGTCTGTCAATATTTGCCATTCACGGACCAAACGTTACGCGCAGCCATGCAAACGCGGCTGTTGACTAAAGCGGGGTGGAAAAAGGGTAATTCGTTTTCGTTTTCGTCCCTTTTCCCTTCTCTTTTTCCTTTCGTTTGACTACGAGCATTCGAAGGAGCATAAGTGGGAAGGAAACAAGTAAGTCGGATGTTAGGTTCTTCTCGTTGCTCGAGAATCGATGATGACATTCATTATTCTGATTCGGGGGCTGGCGGAATAAAATTGCTGGAATGTTTGGCTTGTTTCCGGGAATGGGAGAGCAAATGTTGATTTTTGTTTAAGTGAGTCAGGCGTAGGGAATTGTCGAAGGATTATGGATTTTTAGGAGCCATTGTTTGCTCTGTTTTCGTGTACCCGTTTTTGGCTTTGTCTTTGGTTTCGCAGGATTTCCAGTTGACATTCGTGGCTGCCCTTTTAGCGTGTTATTCTACTTTCAGTTTTCGCTATTCTGCTCTTCTATTTTATTTTTATTTTATTGCATTTTACAGAGATCCTTCTTGTTCGGAATAAATTTTTAAATTTGGAGCGTGGTTTTTGAGCAGGATAATTTTGGTTATTAATGTCGCCGTAATCCTTTTTCATTTTCATGACAATATCGAAGGTTCTACACATTCCTCCTGCTTTTCGCTCCAATTTGCGGTTCACGGTACAAGAGAAGTAATGGCTGAAGCAATTGCATGACCACAGATGAACGCCACGAGAGCGTTCATTGACGCGTAAATCGATTGTCGTTCGAACAGACACCAAATTAATTACGAGTGGGAGCAACTGACAACGAGGAATCTCGGGAAAAAAGAGAAACGTAACGTTTCATCTTCCATTTACACTGATTAATTCTTCTGTTTATAAATAACACGAGATAATTAGTCTCTTTGGCAAGGGTAACGATTTACTATTTTCTTCCTATTTATTCCTATTTATTCCCTACGCAATTTTTCCTAGTATTACGAAATTCGAAATTTATTAACTTCGTGGAAAATAATTGTACCGATCGATATAAATTTCCTAACGTGTACGATTAATTTAAATATTTCTATATTTACCCTATATAGGATTATCCTGAACTTTATCGATCTTCGTTCTTTATTATCTCTTCTTATTGTTCTCTTTATTTATCCAAACTTTCTGCAAAAATCTAAACTAACTCAATTTCTCAAGACTTAACCCTTTGCACTCAAGAGACGACCCTCAGTCGCCATTTAATCAAATTCTGAAGGATGTTAATTAATATATGAAATTGAAGATAACGCAATGATGCGTGGAATGTGCAAGTAGAATAATTCTACGTCTTAATTTGCATACGATTTCTATTTTACCATTTTAGACAGGAAGTCTTCGAATTGCTATTTTTCTGTAACGGGAAAGGGTTAACACGGATAATTCTAACAAAGTATTGCAGAGACTTGGGTGGTAAATAATAATAAAGAATTAGCAATATATGGGTGACGATTGAGCATACGAATCCATATCAACTACAACTTAAGACTACAACTCAACTCAACAACACAATGACAACTCAGCCAGTTACAACTGTTCCATCCCGGAGAGCGTGTTTAGAATATGATTTTATAATTAAGGCTTACACTTTTAACAGACCTAACGGTTTATTTTATATTTTATAATGCGACTGCAATTCCGGAGGTTCGATGTGCCTCAACGCCGTTCTAGCGGATTAAGCTCACAAAGGTAAAGCAAAATTAGGAATTTTACTAGTGCCAGACGCGATAGATGGGACCCGCTTGTGACAGACCCAACAAGCGACGGACGGACGGCAGTTACAAATCACGTCATTGACCATCAGAAATCGGCTCCTTGACAGTTTCCTACTCCTTAGCCAAAGGTCCTTATGTCACACCCTCTGTCCAATTAAAACTCTTTACCTTTCCACCAACATCTATTTTACCCAATCAGAACTAAACTAGAGAAAACACTGGACCGAACACGACGAGACAGGACATAGAGAAAAAGCGAGAAGTCAGTTCGTCTTCGGCACCGATCCTTAAAGCATCGTAATTACACATACAAACGCGTGTTCGAAACGATACTCCGTTAACGTCTACATTATAACTATTCTACACTTTTCTGTAAATAAACACTCTCTTTTGACCACACACATTCTGGATCCTTATTATTACAACTAGTCACGTAATATTAATTTGGCGCGTGATAAGCGTTCTTGGAAATCGAAGAGATTCGATACCGTAGGACGCTACAAAAACTAATGGCTCACAACTAAAATACAACTAAACAACTAACAACTAATAACTCTTCTTAATAACTCTCTCTCTACACAACTGTTTTACAGACTTCTCTCTACATCACTCTCTTCCAATCACTGCTCACTAACCACTTCTGCCTTCTCTTATATCTTCCCCAAAAGCCTCCCCCAACATGACAAAATATGGTCATGCTAAGGGCCTGACGCATCGCCGGAGTTTTTCCGACCAACCTGGTCCTCGAACCCTCGGTGACTTTCTAAGCTAAAGTCACCTATACACGAGGTGGAAATCCTGCGATACTACAGTATCTACAGATTATAAAAATAAATATAAAATTTCGGAGTTTATAGATACAGACAATATTACCATTCTTATAAATTCATGTCGATTTACAAAGTCGAAGAAACTACGTATGCATCCCAATTCGAGACTCCACTTTCCTCCCCAAGAAAAATGTCAAATCCCTTCACACTCTTCACCATATTCTCCCACCCACTCCCCCAAAAATACCCTAAATAATCTACTCGCATTATCCATACTATAATACAAAATATCAATTTTTCTTTTACCTCGTCCGCAAACGTTTTACTCAGATGATGCAGATCTCGCACACACGCACACGCGTAATAACCGGAAACGCTGAACGCACACGGCGAGATAAGAGTGCTCGAATTGTCGATTCGCGGCTTAACGGCTGCAAAACCACTCGACCAGTTATCCCCTCGTAAATATCGAGAACGGTGGTTCCTCCTTGAGCTTATCGAACGGTAAGCGACATTCAGAAGAGATATAAATCGATCGTGGCCCCTCGAAATATTATTGCGGAAGTTGCGGTAGATGGGATAAACTCGCCCTACGATTTACGTCCCGGTGACGCGTGCCATAATCAACAAGGTCGGTCACACTTCCAGCCATTCCGTGCGAACGCGACGGGGAATAACACGTAACTGAAACAGAAAGACGAATGTTAATCACGAGCCTGACCGTAATGTTTATGTTGGGTCCTGTCCACGAACTATGCCTCGTCTGTGAATATTTACAGTGGCTAACGAAGATATTCGAACGGCTAGACTTCCTACTTTCAGCACGTGAAATACGTATGATAATCCTAGATTTATTGATTTATTTATTTATTTATCTTGTAGCGACCATCATTCTCACTAGATGGATTCCAACTTCGAGGACTTTCTCGCAAGTCCTCGGAAAACCGCTAAATCCTATATACAGTGACTCGCGAAAATATTCGGACACCAGGGTATATCTGAATTAATCGGATCGTATCGCAGATACTAATAAATGGATCCTGTTCACTACTTCTTCTAGTGATAAGACATTTATTCAAGTAAACATAGACATATGTTTTATCTAATAAATTTGTATGGATTTGTTATAATAAATTATAAACAAAATGATACCCCATTTTATGAGTGTGATACGATAAATGTCTTCTCACTAGAAAAAATACTGAACAAGATCCATTTATTAGTATCTGCGATACGATCTGATTAATTCAGGCAGACCCTGATGTCTGAATATTTTCGTGAGTCACTGTATGTAGGATCGGGGTGGGTGGATTAGCTAAAGTAACGTTGTTTTACTACTTCTTAAAGTACAATAAACTTATACTTATTGGCTACGAAACCAGAGACCCGCTACGGGTACGCTCGACTCTTACTTGTTAGACCTGGCGCCCTGGCACACTTATTTAAGCATTCACTCTGTTCTTTTCCATACCCAGGCTTTCCTTCGCAATCATACTTCTTTCCTACGCAACCTCGGAGGGCGCGGTATTTCAAACACTCTGCACGCATATCTAATCTTTCGCTCTAACCTAAACATTCATTGAAATCGATCCTCTTGCGCGCGGTCTCTTTCGTTCTGGGTCCAGACACACCTGCCATTCTTCCAGGGCCGTTCTTATTCCAATCCCACATGTATATAACTTCCCGTCCTTCCAATAGTATCTTAATCTAAGGCAGGGCCTGCTAGAAGAAAGCCTTACTGATGAGTCCGCTAGCAGGCCCAGGACGAAACGCATCCCTTCCTTTTCCTAGCGTTCCTTCCAGCTACTCCACCACCACAACGAGGATACCTGCGCCTGCCCAACATTAACGACCGTAGGGGGAGGACCCCCACAATCTTAACACATTTCTGACTGGTGATGAGTTAACTCGTCATTATCTATTTCAATTTATGAAACCCAGGGCGATAGAGAATATTGCGTGTGAAAGTGATTTCGAGGATTGGATTAGAAAATAATAGCCGGTGACATGACAGTTTCTGTGTAAAATTGCCGGTCAGTAAAGTGTTAACCCTTTAACTGCCACGCCGAAATCTAATAAGACTATAATTCGCGAAATAAAAAAGGATCCTCCAATTTCAGCTCCTATATTGGCAAATATAGTTGAAGAAACGCTTGAAATCGTATCGTGAAGAGGTTATGGGTGTCCTGGAGGATGGATCGGATGTCGAAGATTCGTGCAGGGGGTAATATCCTGCCGCGGGGCACGTGCCCCTGTTCGCAGTTTCCAGTCGCACGTATTGGTCACGCACGTGTGACGTAAT